ACACCACACCCCAAACCCCAAACACGAAAACTGCATCGCTGACAAAGCTTCGTGTTGAAACTGCATAAACTGCATCTGACGGAAGAGTGACATTCGCCGCAGGTGCGATGACCTTTTTTCATGCGAGCAACCACGGACAGAGTTGTTTCGTAGTCTCTTCGTGGGCATCCCACGCCCAGCGTAAGACCGCCATCAGGGCTACACGCGACGATCTTGAGTCGCCAGGGACAAAGCTTCTGGAGTGAGACCGGGGCGCCGTGCACCTGGGATATTTCAGTTCCCAGGCCCTATCAACACCCCAGCGCATGCTGGCAACAAAGGCTGCTAAATGCTGCAGAGCATCTTGACTTCCTGGATGTCTCGCCAGCTTCATAGACCCAGCTTTCCACGACAGCTCATGGTCTGCGACATTCGCTGCGATCCAGTGAGCAGTGCGCCCCATGGGGTTCATCGTGACAGCCAAACGGGTTTTGGCTTAGGGCTTTAGGGCTTTAGGGTTTTGGGGTTTAGGCTTAGGTGTTCAAGGCTTTAAGGCTTTCGGGTCTAGTTTGGGGTTTCAGTGAGGGCTTCAGGGCTTAGGGTTTAGGCATTAGAGTGAAAGGTTTAGGTTTATGGTGGGTTTATGGCTTTATAGATTGTACGTAGCCATAACGTCGCTTTACAGTCCCTCGATAATTACACGACCATGAACCTGAAGGCCCTCTTCTAGTAATGAAGGGCCCTTTGTTTGAATCAAAACGCTTGCCGGGTCACTCGAGATGCTGCAAACTCTCAACCCGACACTCTACAGCCCTCCACCCGCTAGCACCCCTTAGCTTAACACCCCTTCTCTGTTGCCCCGATAAACCCTAAGCCAGCGGCGCTTAGAGCCGGTTGTTTGTAACAACAACGCAAAACATCCTTTCAGGGGTTTGGGTTTTGGGTTTTGGGTTTAGGCCTGGGTTGACGATCCAACATCGTGGAACGGAATCCGTGACCAAAAACCACGCCACCGATCTAAACTCAAAACCCGCCGAAGAGGAAACCCCAAATCCAAAGCCATGTCCTTGCCACCCTTGCTCGGGATCGCATCCGGGGGCGCGCGATTCTCCTTTCAATTCGCACTTTGAAGACTTTTAATGCGACGCTGATGCAAACCTAAGAATCCGGACTTAGTAGTAGGCTCTCAGTACGCGCATAAGTCCTAATCGAGGTTGCTGGCTTAGACTTGGACGATGTAGAGTGTATTGGGTCCAGGTCGTCATACCCTATGGTCTACGCTTTAGGCTTTAAGGTTAATTCTAAACCCTAAACCCTAAACCCTAAACTTAAGGGCTGCACCCTGGACTCTTGTCTTTTCCCCACAGATGCTGCGAGTCCGACTTTGCAGGAAAAATCTGTGGCTTCCGCAGAACAAAACTAACAGGCACTACCTATAGTCTCCATTGTATTTCCTTTTTGGGTTTAACAAATTTCATATCAAGGATCCGAAAAGATAACCCCTAAAATGGAACTACAATGGAGACTATGGGTAACCACCCACAGGAAAACAAGCGCGGCACCGAGGAAAACTCTGTGTCAAGCAAAAAACTTCTCTGGGGCACTGGTCCACTACAACTATCTTAATTGGGGGTATAAGTATGGATCCATAAGGGCTACTATGAGGATTCTACAAGGGTTTTGGGGGTACTTACAGTAAAGGATCATGGGACGTAGTAAGTAAGGCTATAAGTACCTTAATTGGGGGTATAAGTATAGTTACCTTACTTACAACCCTAGATAGTAAGTCCCATGATCCTTTAAGTGTAGTTTAGGGTTGAAGGCTTTGGGGTTCAGGAACTTTGTCCTACTTGTCGGGTGTCATGGGGAACTAAAGGTTAACCTTTTGGGTGTACAGGGATTATATAGGGACTATACTATACGTACTCTACTGCTAGGTTGTCACCGTTTTCAACCCTTTAATCACAATTCTTGCTGTAAGCAACTTCAGTGCTCTGAGCAATCGTCACTTAACGCACATATACCGACAGGCATACATGGATGCAGACACATTGACGTACGGGATAAAGCTGCATTTGTTCCTCACATTTAACACTTTAACACACCAACCTGCGCACCTTTCGCATGAATAATTACACTATACTTTCGGCTTTGGATGCCTTGCGTCGCCATGGCCATTTTGTGGCTGGTAACTTCCTTCAGAGTCGGTGAGTCAGAGACCGTGTAAGTCAAGGAGGAGCCATGAGGTGCGCTCTCGTCCGGGTGCCGAGAACGAAAGGATCTCCTCGCGGCTCCTCGTCGGTCTCGTCGTCTCAGTCTCGTCGCGGCTGATGATCGGTGCCTTGAATTTCTCCACGGGCGACCGCTGTGTGAACCCCTTCCCGGCCCCCCAAACCCTCGTCGAAACCCGACTTTTAAATCAATCTCCACACCACGGAGCACTGGGAGATTTGACAACGAACAATACCCAATACAATCCCCAAGCTAGTACCCTCACAAACCACTGAAAAGGGATCCTAAGGCTTAGGGTTGCAATTGCAGAACCCGAATGGGGAATACTCGACTTCGAAACACAAGTTCGGGAGGTTGGGATATTGCAGACACCTGATTAATGAAGTGCCCTTCTTCAATGCCTTCATGTTTAGATGCCTCTTAGACTCCCTACTGAGAGAAGTGGGGTTCCGAAAGGTGAGTCAAGTAGCGATATTCGTCAGAATCAAGGCCCTTAAGGTCAGCAGTAACAGCAGTCTGCCGCTCGAAAATGCTAAATCTTAAATCCCAGCATGCCTATATTCCGGACTCCTTACTGGATTAAGCATGTGGCTACAAGTACCCAGACCTTCCAAAGTCCCTTAACTAAGGAAGGCACCTTAAATTATGGCACGTAGGACCCCTAATATGCTTGAAGGTATATTCCTGAACTAAGGAATTTGGGAAGATCTGGGTCGGAGAGATAGTGGTCTGGGCCAACCTCCTTCGGAGACCAGTTTCGTCTCATTTTTCAAGGGTCTACATGAGTTTCGAAAGGGGGGGGTCCTATTAGGCTTGATAGTTTAACCGGGTCTTGGGTAATATTGTTTATAGTACACTTTCAATCAGGAGCGCTCTGGACCAGTTTCGATCGTTATTCAGGGTCCCGTGTTATAAAAGGGAGTACTATCCCTTGCCCATGCAGCCAGAAAACTATATACTTAGGCCTTAATGGGGCTCCTGCAAAGGCGCTGTAGGTAGGGCCGAGGTATCTCATATGTGGGTACATGCACCCTTACAGAGAAAGCCCTAGAAAAAATGTACCACCCGTAAACCAGTAGCCCACTACACACCGCAATGGGGCTGTTGATGATTTTTGAGCCCCTAAACCGTATACCTTCACCCTCTACACGACCATTAGCCTGTATTACACCCCAAAACCGACGCTTAATCCCTAAACCCTAAACGCCCTACACCCCAAACCGGACTAAACTCATAGCTCCTTGGCGCGCGTCACGGGCCCTCGAAGCGTTGGCGGAGCCATGATCCAGACCTGGTGGTTTTCTGCTCGCACAGTTCAAGATACCTGGGTTCTTGTTAAGGAATTAAATTTAAGTTACCATAGCAGGGATCTATGGGAAATAATCTGGTTTACTTGTTGTGGGAACTTAAACTAAACCCCTTAACAAGAACCCAGATTCTATACGGAGGGTTCCTTTAAGCCTTTCTGACAAGGCTACGATAAGTCAAGGCTCAGTACAGGGGCCATAATGAGTATAGTATTTGTTGCAAGGAAGGAAGCCGTAGAGCTTTATCTAGAGTAACCAAGGTACGTTAATGCAAACAATCTGTACGGCTGTTTAGGTTCATGTCCCTTTTTGAAACACGCATCGGTTTTAGGTGAGGCATCAAAGGTTTAGGAATTAAAATTTAACAATTCAAGGTGTAGGACAGGGTAGAACTGCAGGCGAGCTTCAAGCTGATCTGGAGCCATATATACTAGGGTTTAGGGTTAAGGGGTTTAAGGCTTGGGGCTTTGGGGTTCATATGGTTTAGGGGTTGAAGGTTTAGGGTTTACGGGTTTGGGAGTTTTGGGGGTATATATTACTGTAATGCTGTATTATGTTTTATACTATGAATTATCTTAGGGACTGAATACCCTCGCCGAAAAAAGGGCTAACATATTGAATTATGGTAATTAAGTTTCTCTCGGCCCCCAAAAAGGCTAAAGGTCACCTACTCAGCCCCTATAGTGGGTTTGGGAGTCGGGATTGTGACTTCAGCGTTTACGGCGCACAGCTTTTGTTTGAAAGCCCAAACTTCTAAACTGCCGGGTCGAGCTCTGGGTTTAGGGTTTAGGACCTCTCCGAGCTAGCCGGCTGGTTGGGGTTCACAGGCGGAGTGTAATCCTGGTCAAAGGCCATGGGTCCAGTTAGCCCCTCATTCGTTCGCGTGAGCTGATTTAGCTGGGGAGTTTGGCCCGGAGAGCTCAATACCCCTAACTTAAGGAATATACCTTAGACTATAAGGGGGTTCATATTACATTTTAAGATAACTGTTGGTGTTCTGGGCTTAAAAGATTAGGGCGTCTGCACTGCATGGTCTTCGTCCTTCGGGGTTGAGGGTCACAGGGCATGAATTTTTGATATAAGTCCTCACAAAGGTGGATTAGTTGGGGTTAAGGTAAACCCTAAAACCCGCAACCCTACAACCCTGAACCCCAAACCCCTAAAGCGGTGACTGAACTGAGGCCAGGGCTTCACCGGGCAATCTGCCACCGCGTTACCGCTGCGAAGAAGCCGAAAACGGCACAAGGCTTTTATTTACGGGCTGCAGGGGACTAGGGAGTAATACAGACAGCGTTCAAAAAGATATTTAAGGTATGTCAGGGTTTAGGACTATACGTGGAGCTGTAAGTAGTAGCTTATGACAATGACTTCTTCATCATGGGGTAGAAGTCCTAAACCAGTATTTTCTGAAGGTGATGCTTTACCGGATCGTACCCTAAACCAAAGCAGCCTGAATCGACTGTTATCCAAAAAATGAGTCCTTTACTCCCAAAGCGACAGCACGAGCAAGTCGCGAACACCCCGCGGAAGGGAACCGCCTACGGCGGCGTCGACCCAAGCAGCAAGATCGTCGATGTTGCCAGCATCGCCCTCGAAGAGCTTGAACCTCACATCTGCAACTTAAATTTAGGGATGTTATATCGTGCCAACAAAACAGCCAAATCAACTCCATCGAAACACGCAGGTATGTATTTGGGCAAAGTTACATGAGCATATATGTTCATATACAAATATGCGTATACGTATATATATATATATACTATACACACACATGTATCAATAAAATGTATGTATGTATATACATACACACACGCTTATATGCCCGGTTACTTCCTAAACCCTAAACCCTGAAAATCTCTCTGGTTGTGTCCTTTCTGTGGGACCCGTACATCCGAAGTATTCCCAACCCAACCCCCCGCCCCCTACCCACCCTAACATCCTGCTGCCTCCCTAGCCTCGCCCCTGCTTCAAAGCCAGTCTAGGGTTGTGGGGAGAACTTAGGGTTCAGGCTTCGTTTAGGGTTTAGGGCTTAGGGTTTTGAGTTTTTTTTTAAGCTCCTTTTTGATGTCCGCCAGACAGTCGGCCGACTTCAAGCGTTCAGGGTTTCGGGTTTAGGGGAGTCTCCGGGTTGAACAGGCCACGAACAAATATATTCAAGAATGATATTCCATAACCCAAAGGGTCCAGAGAAACTACCATTATGGAATGAGGCCCCCCAAACCATTATAGGGATGGTCTCCTGGGACCTCATTCCATAATAGTAGTATATATGGACCCTCTTGGTAACCCAGCATTCTGGGTTTAGGAGCCACTAAACCAAATCCTGTAGTTGCCGCAGCCCACGAGCCCAACCGAGGCGACCTCTTAACATCCACAAGAATCATAGGGACCCTTAGTATTAGTAGGGGTGGTGGTAAGGGGAAGGGGTGGCAGGGGACTATAACTTCTTGAATACGCCTTATTATTAACTCCATATAATGGGCATTAAGGCCCCCTATACCCCCTAAGGGTCCCAATGGAAGAATGACCACCCGAATGCTCTGCACGCCCCTAACAGAATAAACGGAAATCCAGCAACTTTCACAAACCTTATCCTTCACCCCACCACCCCTTCAACACAGTAAGGCGAAACACCAAAACCTTAGACCCGACATAAAACCCTATAATATCCTATAACGCTGAACTCGCACAGGTGCCTCCTCCTTTTGGGTCGGTATAGTAGAACCGAGCCAGGCGGGACCTAACCAAGAGCTTTGCAAGTCGATACCGGGCTGATGTTATCATCAGAGAGTTGTATTTGGTTTTAAGGCACGGTGCGGGGTACTGAAATACAACGGCCTTCAAAATGTCAGTAGGGTGTTTGGGTAAATCTTGCCGCAGTTATAATTAATAAGGAACACAGAAAAAGACAGTAGCCAATCAGTGCCAGGCTTCTCTGTTCTATTCTATGTGAATTTAAAGGCTATGAGCTTATGTCTCGACATTCAAGGCGCTTTTGAGAACTTGAAACTATACTTGCATAAGATTCCTGTGTTAAAGGCCAGTGTCAGGTCCACAGTTATAAAGTTGCAGACCCGCCAGGATTTAGGGTTCAGAGTTCTGGGCTCAGGGTAGTGTTAAGGATTTGCCTGAAACCTGAATTTCAACCACTGTTGTCTGTAACCTTTCTGCACGTTTAAACAAAAGGTCTTGAGGTTTTGAGGCCCTAAGAAGCTCTAAGCCCATGTGCTCCCCACTGGGGTCGCTGCAGACCCAAACGCCGATCGGAACTCCGCATCTTTGACGAAGAAGACCTGCTTTCCGAATTCAGTACTGAGAGGAGCATGGGACTCAGTGACTTGGGCAAATTGAGAAATCCACCCCAAAGCCGCCTGAGCCCTGATTGCCCTAAAAATGGTGCCTGCTTTTAGAGCTTCACGATAGTCGTACGTGCTCAACCGGTACGCCGAGTACGAGCACTACCCATGTGGCCTTCACATGGTCGTTCCGCAGTCGCGGCGCCAACGTCCTCGCGAGGATCCAAGCCGCCTAAACCTTGCAAGCCCTACAGCCCAAAACCCTAAACCCCTACACTCCTAAACCCTTAAACCCTGAACCCCTAGACCCGAAAGCCCGAAACCCAAATACCGGCAATTTTTGAGCTTCGGGATTTCGGGGCTTCAAGGCTTAGTGGAGCTCCAGCCCCAAGTCCTTCACCAGTCAGTACTGAGCCTCTCAACCCCAATGCCAAAAGCCCTACGGTTCAGAGCCCTAAACCTAGACTTTAAAGTAGCTCACGAATCAGAGGTTCTGTAAGGGTTTGGCAGAGCTCGGCTTGATGTTGTTTCAAAGCGGCTTTCGCATATGTATATACATAATCATATCGATCTATCTATCTATCTATCTATATATATATATATATACAGAAAATAACACACTACAGGCCCCAGTTTTCGTGGGTTATATATATATATATATATATATATATATACCTCCCAAAATGATACCCCAATTCTAATTGAAGCCTCTGTAGGATACAAAGCAACACTCTTGGATGCGTTGCATTCTACTCTACATCGTAAAGCGCTAAACCAGAAACCCTTCAACACAAAAACCCTAAATCCAGAACCAGCCTTGTAGAACCCTTACAGAGAGCAATTCAAGGAAGTCTAAACCATCTTAACTTGAAGCGTGAGTAATGCTACAACAAGCCCCAGACCATTAAATCCCCCCAAAACACCACAAGTCCCAAATAATACTTATAGAACCCGGATGGAGCGCTCAAACATGCCCTTTAATCATCCTTCAATTGTCAATCGACCCTCAACATCCCTCAACCCTAAATCCTAAAGGAAAGCCCTAAGCAATCGGATCGTATCCTGAGCGAGGCCATCGCTTGGGAGTCCCCGTGGCCGCTGAAGAGAAGGAGGCAGAACTGATTTCAGTGATTTGGATTTATTATGTATGGGTTTAGATTCGGGGTTTAAGGGTTTAGGGTTTATAGGGTTGTGAGGTTTCTGTGACGTTTTTTGGGGATTTCCTCTGAGGGGTTCAGATAAGGTTCTATGGGTTTAGGGTCTTTACCATGGCCTCAGAGATGTTCTGAACGGGTTCCTAGTTGTAGTTTAAGGTGCGAGGTTTAGAGTCTAAAAGTGCGGGTTTTGTTTTAAGAGGCAGAGCTGCAAAGCTGATGTGAAAGGGGTGGTCCAGGCTCCGTTGGTTTATTTCGGTTCCTATAAAGGGTCTTTTGTGAGTTTTAGGGTTTAGCGGGTTTGGGAGGTTAGGGAATCTATGGGTTCTGCTGGCCTTCACATAGGTTTTAGAAGGGCATTCAAAAGAGGCCTTGCTTTTTGGAATGACAGCGGGTTGATAAGGACTTGACAAGGGTGCTGTAATGGTTGTCCTCCTGATAGGGAATCCAACTGCGAAACGGAATCATCCTCGGGTCAGTTGTGGCACGTCTTCGGTACGCGTGGTAGTATGATGTCAAGAATGAGCCAAGAACAGCTTCGTCCTGCTGCCTCTCAGCATGAGCCTAGCCCTTTACCGTCTTTACGTTATAGCAAGGTACCATGTCGTAATCGAGGGAGAGTCAGGCCCTGTAGGGTTTGGAACCCACAGGTACGGGTGTGAGGACGTTATGTCTCGGGTTTTGGGTTTACCTGCAGTCCACCTGCAGGGAAGGCTAGAGTTGCCTGATAGTGGGGCGAACAACTATAGGCTGTGAGCAGTCGAGCATAGGTTCGAGATGCACATAGTGCAAGCTCCCTCTGTAGATTTCCCTCAATTAGGGCATTCAGGAACCTATGAACGACATGACATGATAATGAAGAAGGGGGCTGCAACTTCTGGGTGTTTGTCCGGGTCGCGGATGACTCGAGCCATGGGTGTTGTTGGATGCTCTCCGGGACAACCAAACCATTCCTATGGCCCCTGCTACCCACAATATACCCCCGCGTGGTAATTCAGATAAGAGAACGGGATAAGTACAGTAACAACAGCAACGTGACTTATATCCCCGCTTATGATCCATAGACCTAGGAATTCCACGAACCAGCTTCCGAAGGCCCTATGTTCCCAAAGATAACGGCTCATATTGGTGAAACTTCGCAAGGGACCTTGAATCTTGAGCATACCCGTACTCCACAAATTCGAGACTTAACCCCGTTCGTTACCAAGACGGTCCCTGTATGCTACGATTATGGAATTAGGCCCCAAGGGACCATCCTAATAATGGTTTTGGGGGACCTAATTCCCAAATATTAGTATAGATGGACCCTTTAAGCCCCGAAAGCCTAAACCCCACAGCGATCCTCTGAGTTAGGTCCCCTTATAGAAACCCTTATAGGAACTCTTAGAGGAACCCTATTTGGGTACATGGACCCTCTTTGTAAGTTCAGCTGGCAGGCATTCGAATCTCCCGGCGCGCAGTCCCCACTCGCGAGACGAGACGATGTGAGCCTCGGCTGAGGAGGCAATGGAGGCCCGACTGATGTAGGGGCCGTAATAGTTAAGATCAGGGTTCCTACAACTGGTTCTATAAGAGTTCCATATAAGGTTTCTATGAGGTAGGAGCCTTTATTAATGATTAGACTAGGATTGGTGGAGGGGTATACGGTATACTACACTATCTTCATGATAATATGATAAGGACCCCCCCCTTTATAGTATTGGTAATTAATGGGGCCCCTATATAACACAGACTGGTTAGGGCTTTCAGGGCTTAGAGATTGGGCTTTGGGTCAGGGGTTCGGGCTTAACTTAAAGGTTTGGTCGATGGTAGTCGAGAAGTAGAATGCTCTGTACGGATAGGCGGGTTATTGAGGATCAGTTCTGCATAGCCCTGATAACTTGCATTGGAGGCCTTCAGGACTATGACGTGTGCAGGGCTCGAATTCGAATTCAGAGGTGGGTTCGGCATGTACATTCATGCATGCATGCACGAAGAAATACACCCATGCATGCTTCCATAAGTACCCGCTTACATATATACGCACAAAAGATTAACAAACATGCATACATACGTACATGCATGCATGCATGAATACATACATACATGCCTACCTACCTACCTACATACAGATGCATACAGATACGCAGATACATACATACATACATGCATACGTACACATTTGTTTACACACATATACAACCACACGCACATACACACACACACACCCGCACACACACACACACACACACACACACACATGTGCATGCACCCTCCCCCGGTTTGAGAGGCACATGTACATTTATGTGCATGTCTGTAACATGTATATATATATATATATATATATATATATATATATATATGCATGCATGCATGTATGCATGCATGTGTTTGTACACATGTGTTTCTATGTAACATAAGAACTACAAGTACTATGTATGTAGGCACATTAAAACGTCTGTACATGTCCCAATGATATTCACAAGTAAGAGCCCACCGAGCCGATGCCTTCCGAGGCTCTAAACCCTCAGCCACCTAAAACCGATGACCCGACACCTCAAACCCCGATAGCAATCCCTGCAGAACTCTGCAAAAACAAGCTTCTTCTACAACCAACACCCACGTACAACACCACATAACAAGCAGTAAGCATTTTGAACATGTGTGCTTACTGTTTACTATGTGGTGTTGTAGGTGGGATACACAACTTCAGCAACACAATAAGCCACACCAAAGACTCATGCAAGCCGGTGGAAATCACGAACAACCCAAACAAAACCTAGAAACCCGAAACCACAAGAATAAAGGAACTGTTTTAAGAGCCTTAACCATCGGAAACGGGTTTGGGGTGTATTCTACGAAGGAATCCCCAAATAGTATAGGTAATCATTAAATTAAGGCGGCCCCTATATTACACAAAGCCCTAAACACGAAACCCTAAAGCCTAAACCCGGTAACCTGAAAACCCTAAACCCTTAAATCCTCAGCCCTAAACCCTTCAACCACCCTGGGCCGCCGACTCTCGGAAAGAGGCGAAAGCTTGGCTGCGATGGCGACCCACAGAGCGAGAGAGGAACCGGGCTAGCTGGTCCTCGCTTTGAGGGTTTTGGGTTTAGGGCTTTAAAGTTTAGGGTTTAAGGTTCAGGGCTTGAAGGGTTTAAGGTTTCGGGTGTAGGGGTTTAGGATTAGGGTTTAAGGTTCAGGGCTTAAAGGTTTAAGGTTTCGGGTTAAAGGGCTTGGGGTTTGAGGCTCCTTTAAGGGTTCTTCCATGGGTTAGTGTCGGGGTTCCTTTATTGGGTTCGTTTAGCGGTTCCTTTAGAGGTTTCTTTAAGGGTTCTCTTGAAGGGTTTCTTTCTCGTAAGGGCTCAAAAAGGGTGACTATACGGTTCAGGGCCTGGGGTCGGGGGTTTGGGGCTTAGGGTTCTTGAAGCAGAGGGCTTGGCGGATTCCGTCTGAAAGCTAAGGTTTTGGGATTGTAGGCTACTCAAAAAGTCTTCTGCGCTGGTCCCGCTTCAGGGTTTTTCTTTAAGAGAGCTTGTGTGGCTACAGCAAGGGTGCTACCTCTTTCTACACCCTTCAGCCGCAGAAAGACACCCGCCACAATTGAATTCTTGGGCCTGAGGAAGTGATATAGTGCTTTGGGTTATCTTGTAGCATACATCTTTTCCGGACAAATGTTGAGTTGCTAAATCTAAGCACCAACCAATATTATAAGAAAGATGCTAGACGTTACAACCTGACTCTAAGCCCGGCACCCCAGAGCCTAGATCCTAAACTGCTTCAAACCGCGCAAACCTGACATCCTACACCCCCAGCCCAGACGCCAAACCCACTTAACCTCAAGAAAGTCGTAACTTGGGTACGGCCCCCATACAGTAAGAGTCTTTATTAGGGCTACTATTAAGGTCCTAATAAATCTATATTATGAATATTATTCAACTGTTTCTGAGTGGGGGCCGTACCTAAGTCGTAACAGTCTAAAGTCCGAACCCCAAAACTCAACATCAACAAAACCCTAAACCCTCAACCCCAGACTTCCCTAAACCCTCAACCCTAAACTTCCCTAAATCCTCATCCGTCACTACTTGGGGAGCATATCGTCAGTATTCGGCACTGTCGCCTCCAAGCTATACTCTTGTGGTTCAGGGTTTGGGGGTTTAGGGGTTAAGGGTGTATATACACGGGTTCAGGGTTTGAGGGCTTAGGGATTGAGGCTTTAGGGGTTTAGGAGTTCAAGCACGGGGGATCCTTCTTGAACTCTTTGTCGAAGTGCTCGCCGGTCAAAGATTCCTGTTCCGGGGGACGAAATACGTGTTTTTTCTTTGACGGAGTACCTTACATCTTCGGGGCTTTGAATTTTTGCAGGGTTTAGCGTTTGAGAGGGCATGGTTAACTTTTCCCGTTTTTGCGGTCCTGATTTGAGGCTTAATTCAATGTTTCTGGAGAACAGGTTTCATGGGTTCTGTCTGTTTTTTGGTCGGGCTTAGAGTATGGGTTTCGGTCGAACGCAGCGGCAACTATAGTTTATCGACTCCTCCGCTCCCCAACTAAGCCACTATAAGTTTTAGCAAGCCGCTTCCGAAGCCAGGCATAACACTTCACCGGTTTAGGGCTTTACCTGAACCCCAAAAGTATGTAGGATAATGGCTTTGTATAGGTTTTGGACTATTATTTTACCTACTTTTGCTGGTTTAGGTAGGGTTGATTTGAGGCAATCCCGCAATTAACACACACACACACACACCGAAGAGCCGAGAGTCAAAGGTCCCCTGGAAGTTTCCTAAAATTTGGGGTACCTCATTCTGGCGTCCTTGTCTCATTTTCGGAAACCCCCCCATTTGCACTTCAATTGCGAGTTTACCGTAGCCTTAGCAACGTGCGATGACAACTTCACGAAATGCGAAATGTCCCAACGATTCTGTGGTTGGGACGTTTGGACGAGAAGAGAGGTCACGCTGCCAAGTGCGACTCCGCTGCAGGAGTCCGGTGGCCACAACTCAAAAATCCCCACTGCACGGGCTGCTGGTCCAATGTTTGCATTGCGCAGGCGCGCTCGCATGCAACAGGCTACATGTCCCGGTTGCCTTCCGGCACGTCACTCTTTGCCCACGCGACGCTTGCTGCTAGCCTGGAGACAGCATGGGGCTCCTGTACATGTAAACGCGGCCCAGTCCCGCAAATCTGCACAGTGGACGACAACGCATCTCCGGCCTGTCTCACTGCCTACTTAAAGGATCATGGGACTTAGTAACTGGGGTTATAAGTAAGGTAACTATACCTATAACCTCAATTAAGGTGCTTATAACCTTACTTACTAAGTCCCATGATCCTCTAAGTACTGTAACACCGGGCAGTTCAGGGCGAGGCCTCCAGAGACGGCAAAGCAGCGAGAAAGTAGCCCCTTGTGGTTTGGGATGGAGGGTTTGGGGTTTAGGGCTCATCGAGGGTTTAAAGGGAACGCCAGAAAGTTGGAATATGGTTTCAGGTTAGTATACCTTATAATTTACCATAAAGGGCTCAGGATAATCATATTCCAACTTTCTGGCTTTTACTTTAGGGTCTAGGCCGCTTCGTTCAAAGGTGTACAGATCTTGGGGTTCACTTCCCGAAAGAAAGGCCAGTCAAAGCTACTGATGGGAACAAATACTCCAGTGTTAGAATCATGCTCAGGAATCAGGATACGAAACTGAGGATGCCTACTTAATCCCTGAACCCTACAGCCTAATTACCCCGAAAGCCCCGAAAGCAGCTAAACCCTAAACCCTAATTACCCCGAGAGCCAGAAAACCCTAAACCCCTAAAACCTAAAGCCTACTTACCCCGAAAGCCCCTAAACCCCAAACCCCTAAAACCTAAAGCCTAATTAGCCCTAAACCCTATAAAACCCTGATAACCTTTTTTTCGAAGCTCCGGAGATGGAATCCCAACCACCCTGAACCCGAAAAGGATCCCCTGAACCCTTCACAGGCAAGGGGAGTTCGACTGCGGGGTTGGAGAGGTGTGTAGCTGGCACTTTCGGAAGTTTAGGGTGTGCATTCAAGTTTTTGATGATTCAAATTTGATTAGGGCCTATGCTGAACCCGAAACACCAAAAAAACGCACACCCTTAACTGTAAAACCCTGCACTCTCAACAACTCATATTACGCCACCGGCCTCATCCTGTATGTACACAAGCGCTGGCCTTCAAATGCGAGCTGTAAAAATAGAGTGAAACAGGGCCTTCGCCACTTGAGTTCGGTTCTTCTGAACCAAGGGTCCAAGTACCTAATAATCATATACTCTCCAAAATCCTAACCTACATACCTATTACCCTAAACCCGAGTGCCTAATTGTATCTAATTATTGGGTCCTCTGGACCGTTTGGGCAAGGAGACCTGTAAAACCTCCTGAAAGGTTTCCCGTCAAGGTCATTTCAAGGGGTCTATACTGGAGGGGCCTTGAGAGCTAGAATAGGGCGGTCATACGTATGTTTTAGTATACTACCTCTACATTTCTCTACTGTAAGGAGATATTACAAAGGGAGATATTCCGACCTATGTTACGGTATACCTACTACCTACTCTAGACCTATACTATCTTGTAAGCAGATATCAAAAGCTAAATGATGTAGGGGCCTTGATGATTGGAATAGGGCTATGGAGCCCCTTATGGTACAACCAACAGAAGGGACCCCAAGGAACAACATTGGTATCTACTGAGGCTTCTATTATGTTCAGACTCGCACATCAGGGTTTTGGGTGAAGTGTTCAGAGCCCAGGATTCAGAGCAGCCGCAGGGCTATTGATGTTACAGCACTCCACCTACCCAGACCTTCCAACATCCGTTAACTAAGCAGTATACCTCTTCACAACCTGAAGTCGCATTAGGGATATTCTACTAGAGCTCAAATTATAAGAGGGTCCTACTACAATATGAAGTATATTACTTTGCGCATAGTCTTCCAAAGCCTGAGCCACCAGCCACCAGCCCCGAAACCTTTAACCCTGCCTGGGAGGCAGGACCAAAGTAGCCCGAAAAACACGTCTAGTCAGTCTAATCCTTCCGAATCCACAGACACATGAAACTAAAAGCCTCTATGCGAATACTCGACAAGACTAAACTCAACAGCTCTGCGTGCCCAAAGCCTTCAAGCTCACAACAGCAGCTCGGACCCAGACCGCTTCGACACGCCCAACTTCTTCGCAAGTTCCTGCCGCCGGACGCCCCACACCCTACGGTTTATGGCTTACCTAGAATATCCAAAGTACCTAACAGAAGTCATGTATGAGTTGTTCAGGGCCGTATCGCTGCTTAGAATTCAATTACTGGTTACTCTAGGTAGGTGGGGTTTGTGTTGTGAGCTTAGGATAAGGGTCCTGGTACCTCGCTGACAACTTGGAGAAATGCACTGTTGAATCTGCAGAATAAACCCAAAGCGGTTCGAGGCAGGGAGGTTCAGAACCTAGGATTTTTAGGGCTTTAGCAGGGGGTTTAGGAGTCTAAGGTTTAGGGTTCAGGGGTTTAGGGTTCGGGGTTTGGGGTTTAGGGCTTCCGTTTTAGGGGTTTAGGGTTGGGGGTTTAGGGTTTAGGGCTTCGGGTTGTGGGTTTAGGAGGTTAGGGTTTAGGGTCTGGATACGCTAGGCCTAGAAAACAACAATCAGTTCAAGGTGCACGGATTCAGGCCTAGCGCTTTAGAGGCTGGCGAAGGTCATATCCCTTTTTGCAGGAGACGTTAGTTACTCTAGCAGGGCAAATGGTAAGGCGGGTAAGGGTTTCCATAACGGGTACTATAGGGTGCTTCAAGGAAGGCGCCGTGGAGTTTGCATGGTTTGAGGGTACTTGTTGGGTTTATAGTTGGGCTTTACAAGGGTTCATGGTCCTGACCCGATGATGTCTGCTGTTTCGCGCATTTTTTAAAGTCATGTTATTAGGTTTCTGTTTACAGCTTGGATACTAACACTGGGCCTAGTCAGAGAAGAGGTTTCCTGCAAGGGTTCTACGTACAGGCATTTCTGGTTGACGGATCAAGTCTTCCCAGAAACCCTACAATCCCTAATCCTTAAACTCTCTACCCTTAACCTTAAATTAAACCCTAAACCCTCCACCTTAAGCCTTAAGCTCTAAACCCTACGCCCTGTGCAGGGTACCGAAAGCCAAGCCCGAAGCTGAATTCCATCCACCTTCCTTTGTATCCAATAAGTAGTACCCCGTATGAGGTACCTTGGCTACTATAGGTAAACCCTAAGCCCTAAAACCCTAAACCCATTCATTTCCCAAAGAAACCCAACATTTCCCGTTTCTTTTCATTTTCGCCTCAGAGCCCAGGAGGACGACCCCCAAGGCCGCGCGCTCGCGGAACTCAATGGAAAGCCTCCAAACCCAAACCCAAAGACACGATTTCGGGTTTTGGGGCTTTAGGTTTTAGGAGATTAGGTGTTTAGGACTGCAAGTATGCCAATTACCTACTTTAGGGTCTAAAGTCTAGAAATGCTACCTAGGGCGATGTGCAGCCTTAGGGAAAGGGTCATAAGTACCTATAAATGCTCCTTTAAGGGTTCCTTTGAGGGCTCCTTAACGGGTTCCTTCAAGGGCTCGTCTACGGTTTTCCTTTATGGGGGATGTACTTTCCCAAGCCATAATGGCAGTTCCCACTTTTAGACCTTACTTTCTACGATGTAGGTAGGCTTGCGTGTGTGGGGGTCTTATGAGAGCTGTGTGTAAGGGGGTAGCTTATAGGGTTGGTTTTCGTTTTCTGGGGCTTTTGCGGCAGGCCTGTAGAAGGGAGTCCTATAGACCCGTGTTATAAGCTTGACGAGTTCTTGCAGCATCTGGCGAGGCAGGTGAGAAAGTATGTCTTTTGGGTCTACGAGCTTTGCATTTGACTCAAAGAGTATCTCACCTGAACCCTGAGCCCCAAGGGTCCAAGTACCTAATAAGCATATACTCTCCAAAATCCTAACCTAGATAGCTACTATCCGAGTACCTACTTATGGGGTTCCTTGGGGTGGACCGTTAGCCTGAACCCTCAACCCGCAACACTAGCGTTCTGGGGTTTTGGTGCGTGGCAGCGGGGTGCATGGATGTTGTTTGGTGAGCAGAATGCTAAATGGTATATGATCAGCTCAATATGTAGAATGGCACCTGGAGGCATAACAGAAATACACACATAAATAAACACATCTGTCGAATAGTATCTATCTATCTATATCTCTATATATATACATACATACATACATACATACATGCATGCATGCATACATACATACATACACACATACATACATACATACATACATACATACATACATACATACATACATACATGAACCAGATTGGATAATAACCCCGCCAAATACAACAAGAATGACCACTTACCAATAACTTACGAACAATTTAACCAACATCATGTACAAAGTCACAAGTTCCTGATCGGAACCCTACGTCATACCATGCATGTACATGCACACAATGGGCTAAGCTGACTGGACTAGCTCCATATTGAAGCCGAAGAAATGCACAGAGGCGCGGGCGACTTGAGGATGGGTGGCGTCGTCTTCTTGTCCGAGAAGAAGAGCACGTGAGGGACCTCCGAGACAGGAGTTGGCTGAACATCGCCCGAGCTTACTTTGAGCCTTGAAGCACACGCTTCATACACACTCGGACCCCTCTTACTTTTGAGGGTGTCTACCTCAGGTCCTAAGAAGGAAAATCGCAATCCGCAGCCATAAACCAAGCCCTCAGCCCTAGTTTTGAATTTCGATTCAAACCCACGCCCGAAGCCCTGCAGCCTATACTGAAACATGCGTCCAAGCTTTGAAACGAACAAGCCTAAGGCCCAGGGCCACACAGTAGAGCGGTGATTGTCAAATGGCTACCTGGCCTGATCCTGTTCCTGAAAATAAGTCTTATCGTTTTCACTAGGGCTCCGAAGCACGGGAGGCCTTGTCATCCGTCGGCAGCCACCGCCGAAGATCTCGCTCTGTGACGATGACCTGGTCAATACGAATACACAAACATTTGCACGGGGTTTATGGGGCGCTAGAAGCCTTTTTAAGGGTACTGCAGGTCTCATGGGGTGTTCAGAATATTAAGGGCCCCGTTTGAAGGCTCTTGGTCATTGGCATCTACCTATTTCGGGTCCAGGTCATGGTCCCTATCCCCAAGGGTCCAAAGGACCCAATAATTAGGTACTGGGTTTTGGGATAGTAGTTGTGTAGGTTACTATGGAAAGTATAAGATAATTAGGCACTTGGACCCTTAGGGTTATAATAGACTTAATCGGGACTGCGGGCATATCAATTAATCATCTTCGATAATTCGACAGGATGAACATGGAGTTTTGGCTGGCTGGGAGATAATATTTAGTATTCTAAGACAATTGGGTCGCAGTACGACACAGAGACAGGCACGAGACACCACATGTCCATGCGCGAACACGACATGCAAGCTAAGTTGCAAACACGAAGCACACACGGACAAGAAACCATGCAGACACAAACTTGTATTCGCATGAAGAGATGCGAGCTCCTGCATGCATGCATGTATGTGATGCCAAGTACGCACAGTTTGGAATGAAGTGCATGTCAGGCCATGGTATGCCAGACCATACCAGAGACACAAAGTAATTATGTATTTGAATGCCTGCACTTATCTGTGTGTTTGTGTATGTATATATTCAGGTGGATTGGTTTAAATGGATGTATGCAATACATTATACCGGCTAGCGCTTTGGGTTATGATGTGTGCCCGGACCCTTAGACCAAAAATCACGCCCAGCCTTCACGTAGTCTGCCATGACCTTGCAGGCCAACAAAGGGCAGGATACCCTTCAGAACTCTGTTCGGGCTCAGCCCTAAAGTAGAGTCCACAAGTGCTCGGAAATCGACACCTCGGCAGTGTCAGAGGATATCGGGTCTGGGGTTGAATCATCAAGGTTTGGCTTTAGGTGTTTAGGGTTTAGGGCTTCGGTCCCCGACTCTCGGGCTTCCGAAACAATGCACAAGAATGGTAGACAAGAGCCCTTCTATATATCCCTTTCCCCTAGACCCTGAGCCCTAACCCCTAACTATCCCTTTCCTCGCGCCTTGGGAAGCCAGGTGGACAGGCTGTGGTACGTGATCGCAGTCCCATGAAACCTGCGTGGGCAACCGGGCACCTTTCTGCCTCAAAAACCGCTATCGCTAAGGGTCCATGTACCCAAATAATACATATATATATATATATATATGTATATATATATATATATGACCCAATGTACCTATATGGGGACTACTTTAAGGCCAAGGTATATACTCTTTAGATACATGGACCCTTAGGGTTTCTTCCTCAAAAACCGCTAGAGATGGTGAGGTTTGGAGCTGAAGGGCTTAGGGTTTAGGGCTTCTTGGGATTGGGGTCTCGGGTTTCGGGGTCGGTTTGGGGTTTAAGCTGGAGGGTTTTTGAGGTTTCGGCCAGTGCTTTGGCCTTTGGGGTTTAGGGTTTAACGGTTGGAAAGCTTATGAGATTGAACTTGTGCGTTAGACGGCATTCGTTGCAAACCAAACTCCAACAGTCACGACTTTGCCAGTTCTTGTTACTACATAATTGCCAGGCATCCAACTCCAAGTTTAATCCCTCTAATCTCAAACCCTCGCGAATAAACAGCCACGTTTAAACTCTAATCCCTCAGCCAAAGCTTTTGCGAAGATGTCACTACACCCTCAGCCCAAAGCTAAAGCCCGTATGATTCATCGATGTCGGCGTTTAGGGCTTTGGGGCCTTCTTGGGTTTTGAAACCTCTACACTCCATAGAAACCTTGAAGCTTCAACCCAGAAACCCTAAACTTCGGCAATCCCAAGCTCCCTAGGTCCCTGAGTAACCCCTTGATAATATGAGAGTACCATGTTTCCTACTGTTCGGTTCAGTAAGGGGAATCTAAACGAAAACTTTAAGGGCAACAGGGTACTACTCATGAACCTAGCTCCTGAGCAGCACTGATGTTGGAGGCGGAACTCTAGTGCTCCATAGGCCGTTTAGGGTTTAGGGTTTAAGACATTCATAATGTAACCCCTGTGGATCCCATAGCCTAACATCCTGAGGGTCATATCAGGATAAGGTCATACCCTATACTTCTGTGCTGATAACATGCTTCTGTTTTAGCGTTCGGGGGTCAGAGGACAAGGATACCCTTGACCAATCCTGAGTGGCACCCCTATCCCCTATCTATGTATGTATACATATGTATATATCAAGGTCTTAACGGTCGTATGACTAGCAATGATACTTCCCATGATGACAGTTTCTAGCAAACGACTAAGTTCGGTTTTGCCGTGCTAAGGTTTAGTAAGAAAACTCCAAGAAAACTGCATCTCCTGAGGAAGTTCCTCAGGGAGGGTTTAGGGTTTGGTGGGACTCGGCCCTGCGTTAGCTGATTTCGGGCTTAGTTGCGCTTGCTTACTGTGCACCCTAAACCCTAAACCCTAAGCCCTCTCTTCTCTACACGGGATGCGCACTTTAATATTAAGGAGGCTTTCAACTGTAGGGGGTTCGGCTTGCAGCCTTGGTACAGCCCGCTACTTGACGCAGGAACTTGCGAAAGTGCTGGGGAAAGCCTTGTCCCCCCCTTATAAACCCTAAACCGGAAACCCGGAACCCTTCCAAGGTCACAGAATCCTTTTGCTCTGCTTCCTCCCGGAAGCGATCGCTAACCATTAAGTGGAGTCAGGTTCGGCCTCGTAGGACATGAGCGGTTTTCTTCACACGAGAGATAGGGTTTTGGGCTACGTAGGGTTCAGGGCTTTGGGCTTAGGGTGAGGCTTCAGGCGGGATGATTAGGGCTTAGGGTTTAGAGTCAGGTCATTTGGGTGTCCAGGGTCCTCAGAATACCTTCCCCCTAATGCTAAATCGGTGGGCCCCACCAATAGACACTCGGAAAGTGCTTCCATTATTGGGGTGGTATTTCTTTATCTCTATTGTCCTTTGAGGGAGGGATGGTTGCTTAGGGGTTTCGGGTGGTTTAATTAGGGTTTAGGCTTTAGGATCAGGAGCCCTCTGCTCTTCAAGGGTCTTTTGGAGCCCTGCAACCACCCCGCCCCCGCTAGTTCAGAATAGATTTTAAAGGGCATGGATGATTTCGGAAGGATTCGCCCCAATGTGTGTTTATGATTAACTACGGAGTGTAAAAGTGATAAACGGGGAAGGGATTACTATGGATCCTTCTCTGCAGGCCCAGTTAAGGTCTCCAATATTTTGTCAAATGCAGCCCCATCGCTTAGTGGCGATAGTCGGGTACTTGTGTTCCGGACAGGTGCACTTTCAGGATAAATGCTCAAGGGGAGCATGTGATTGTTAGCATTGCGAGTACTGTCGTGGCCTTACTGTTCACGGCACGTTCGGAGGCGTAGTTTAGCAGACTTATACTCTTCCGGTGCGGGATGACAGGCCCAGATGCTTTAACCGAGCAACCTTAAACCATCTAAGCAATGCTTCGGAACGTGACTCCTTCAGGGCCTCGGCATGAACCGATAGGCTACAAGCCATGGTCCTCACAGTCAGATTGGCCCTATGGGTCCACGTACCTGGTTGTCGTAATTTCGGGGCCTTCATGATTGGAATAATTAGGGTTTGGGGGTCTATCAAAATATACATATGGTTATTTAAGCCCCTTTTTTATCCTCCCACAAGTGCAAACCTTCATTCGTATTATCCTAAACCCGAGTGCGTGCTTGATGGGTCTGTCGCAGCCTTGGGGTAGGGTTGAGAGCCCACCCAAACCTTCAAGCCCATAGTTTTGATTGCAGATGTTGGGCTTTAATCTCTCAGCGTTTAAGAGCGGTTGCGGCTAAATGGGGCTCAGGGCCCCGATAAAGCGTTAAGGAAGCACAATCCGGTAGGGATATCCCTATAAAATGCTTATGCTTATGTGCTTTTGGGGGTCCCTACTTCCAGGAACTTAAGTAGGTACATTGGACCCTTTGGGTTTGGAAACAAGACACCACGAAAGGCGAAGCCGGCATCGAGTCACTCTCCTCCTTCCTCGACAGTCCTGGCACTTGCTTGTGTCGGTTTAGGGCTTTGGGTTTGGGGTAGGGGTTAGGTTAGGACGGTTAGGATCTAAACCCGAACAAACCAGAAAACAAACATGTAAGACGCATTTAAAATCATTTCAACATGGAAAACCGCTGCAGAAAACCCTCGCTCATAAATGTACTACTAGGACAATTGTATTGAGGACGGGGTCCTCACACTCATGTAGACTTGACCCCACGCTACCCTCTGTCTTATGTGTAAACCGAAAAGAGACAGAGCAGGCTTCCTTGAATCCAGCACTAGCTTCATCACCCATGTGACGTGCTCCCACCAGCACCCCAAAGACTCCCACAACCATTACATAGAACGCGGTAGACATTGCAATTACCCTGCCAGACCATCCAAGAACAACTTCTACCAGGATCAACATTGCGGTCACGAGCCACAAACCCCATTGATTCAACGATGGGTCGAATCGTGATACAAAACCAGATTTGGTGGCACAAGTACGCCGTGATGTCCTCACGCCAAGTCAAATCTTAAGGAGAATCGATTCCATAGGGAGCCCTATAAACCCTAAACCCACATGATTGCCATTTCTTTGGAACCCGATACACCCCCCTCGCCAAAACCGTATTCTCCTAAACCCTATACTCTGAAGCCAGTATTGGTAATTATATCGGTCCCTTTCCCCTAAATCCCTGGTAATACCCTTATAGTGTCCCTTCAAGGAACTCTTTAAAACAGAACCCTATAGGTAATTATTAAAGCCCCTAAATTAAGGCCGTGCCTGGTGTGTGGTAAGCCACCTGTGCGAGCGTCTGTGAAAGTGCCAGGCCTGAGGTAGCTGTAAGTTCAGCGATTTTGGAGTTGGGGCTTCAGGGCTTTAGGGGTTTCAAGTTTGGGGATTTGGCTTTGAGGGCTTTAGGGCTTCAGGGTTTAGGGATTTAGTGTTTTTAGGGTGTAGGGTTTAGGAATTTGTGGTTTTAGGGATTAAGGTGTAGGGGTTTAGGGATTTAGGGTTACCTTTAGCCCCTAGCGGCCCAAGCTGAACGAACCTGTAGGGGACGACCCCCAAGCTGTAAGGTAAATATTGGGTTAAGCCCTGAAGCCTAAAGCTGAGTTTCTACGATCCACAAGAAAACTACACTGCTTCTCTGAGCCTCAGGACGCAAAGTATTAGGCTTCTGGGCCTGACGGACCTCCCGATGATGCTTTTTCAGGGCTGTGGTGAGCCTGAGCCTTACCTAGACCCATAACTGTAGTGCCTTGTTGTTTGGCCACCTTAGCTTCTGATTATAGGATCCTAAGCAAGACATGAATCGGCCAACAAAAGGTACTACATTACCTCATTTAAGGTTCTAGCTAGGTGCAAGCTTCTCAAGTGAGTGTGTGTGTGTGTGTGTTCTTGAATCGCCCTGTTCCGGTCTCTGCCGGCCAGAAGGGTCCTAGGATTTAGGGTTAAGGGTAATAATATAGGGGCCCTAATGATTAGAACAGGCTTTTTGGGCCATTACACTTTATTTATAGTAAGGAAGCCCCCCAAACTAAGGCCCCTATATCAGTTAAGGGTGAGGGGGTTTGTTAGAGAAGAGATTGCGGAGTTCAGGCTGCCTACCCAATTGCAGGAATGTCGCACCTCCCAGAGAGCCCAATACCCCTTAATTCAGGAATATAGCTTTAGTACTCGTCCTAGTCGTACTAGTACCAGTACCAGTAGTAGGCGCCTGTGTGCATTTCGTAATTTTTGGTGTTTGGGGTTTATAAGCTTTAGTTTAGGGTTTCGG